GTGGCCGTTTGGAGATGTTCGTTGCGAGCTGATCGAGGTCGATTTGCACAGTGGCATCAAGTATGATACTATATCTTACCACTGGGGTGGTGGAGAGAAGACGGAGCCCATCGTTATCAATGGAAAGCCCTACTTGGTTGCAAAAACGGTCGTGGAGGTCCTATACCATCTTAGCTCCTATCGAGAAGAGCGCTTGCTGTGGATCGACTCTATCTGCATCAATCAGCTCGACAAGATTGAGAAGAGCTCCCAAATATCGATCATGAAAAATATTTATCTAAATGCTTCGACAACAATTATATGGCTTGACGGCATTGATGAGCCATGGAAAGTTCGCACAATGCTGGCAGGCATCTCGTTTGAGCATCAATTCGGAACCGTAGAGTCATGCTTTGCCCTCCTTCGACAGCACTCGGATACTTGGGCTGAGCAAGGCTGGGCCCAACTCATGAATATGTTCGCTAACCCATACTTTTTTCGAGTCTGGGTCATTCAAGAGGTCGTCATGTCATCTTCTGTGACGATCCTCGCGTCTGGTATGCCATTGGACTGGGGGCATATCTCTACCTTGTCGAGAATGTTGACAACCCTTCCCTTCAACATGATCCTGCAAAGTGGCACAGCACCTGGCGTGAAAGAAACATTTCCTCAAGGCATGTCACATGCGAATATCATGGCTCAGCTCCAACGAGATCGCGACAGTTTTCAGCCAACTCTTCCATACATGCTCGGATTTTGCGCCGAATTCCAATCTACGGAGGCGGTCGACAGAGTTTATGCATTATTGGGGCTACTGGACCCAAGAGACGATATTCACCAGTGGTTGGTGGCTGACTATTCCCTGAGTGCGAGTCAATTATATGCTTTGACTGCACAAGGATTGATACCCTCTAATTGCAATGATGTCTTGTCATTTGCTGGAATAGGGTATCGGAGAAATCTAACAGACCTTCCATCTTGGGCACCGGATTGGACGAGCCTGTCGATGATAGAGACATATCGTCAACATTTTTGCAAGACTCAGCATTCGACTCAATACCGAGCCTCTGCCGATGCCCAGCTCGAAGTCACGTTCTTGGAGGGGCAAACAACGACACGGCCTATAATGCGTATATTGGGACATTGTTTCGACAGGATAGCACATGTCGGACCGATGCTTAGTTTCACTGCGCACAATTTCGGTGCAGGTCCGCCTGTTGAGGTGTTACTCGACCTCATGAAGAAGCACATGAGAGCTCGGAAACTTGCCAACACGCATTTAAAGGAACCGTATCCCACAGGGGAATCCACAGAGGAAGTCTTCTGGCGATCGCTCATCGGAAATACCCAGTTTGAACGCCCAGCACCAGCCGATCTTGGAGTCTTCTGCCGAGTTTGGGAGCGAATGCTGATTGCGGAAGTTGGCAGCGGTGAAGAGGAGCTCCAAGATGAGACTAATACCATGCCAACTATGGAGCAGCTAAGAATGGCTGGACTAGCAGAGGATGCAGGCCGGGGCGCGTTAACTTGGAACAGTTCGAGGGTCATGTGCTGTACTGGCCGAACATTTTGTGTCACGGAGAATGGATATGTGGCCATGGCACCGCCGGGCACTGCTGTTGGTGATTTAGTCTGTTTATTATACGGACTCAATACGCCTTTCATTCTACGGGAGAATGAAGAGAGAGTCACTCAGTATCGCACCATGCAACTGGTGGGAGAGGCATATGTACATGGCATGATGGATGGCGAGGCTATGCTGATCAGCCCGCTTGAGATCGAGCACTTTGAAGTGATTTAGACTTAGACCCTTCATGATTTAACGAACAATAAATCAAACACAGGGACTGCCATGGTATATATTAATGGTCCGGTTTTTCAAGTGATGTGTTTCCCAACCACAAGTATAAGACGACTCAGCTCCTATCCCGATTTCGGGGTCTCGCAAATTGCGCCCTGGGATCGGTGTATGCGAGCCTCAGTGACGCGGACGTGGGGCAAAAGGCGATGGCAGTCGGTACTTTGGGTGAGGCGGACTTTTGCATCGCCCTCAGCAGGGTTCATGCAGTACATGCCTACATTCGTGCCCCAGGCGAGACCTGGCGAGCAATTATGTGGTTGAGAGGCGGCCTGGTTTTCACCTCACTGGCTCGCCTGGCTCGCCTGGCTGCCTTATTATTTTGCTGACCTGTGAGCCTGCCTAGGGCTGTTCACTTTTAGTGTCTCACCATCGCCAGGGGTCAATACTTGTCCAGACAATGCGCCCAAGGTAATTGGGCAAGCCTTTTTTGCGCTGATGAATGTGGCGTTGCAGATGCAGGTACCCATGGCTGCCTTTGCCTCTGACCGAGATCCCAGGCAAGCTTCAGCATAATCTTGAAAGATCTCATTTCATAGATGGTGGTGTGAAATACAAATGCGCAGCCGAAGCGTGTTTATATATCTATGAACCGCTTTCGCCAATGGCATGGTGATTCGGCGCTTACGACTTTTTCAGGTTACATAAACACATCTTGCCTTGCATACTAAGGTATCTACGTTTTGATGCAGCCACCAATGAGCAATCCTCGTGGGCCCGGCCGGCCTGCCATGGCGAGCCTCATATGGGAGGACACGGCAATGCAGAGAAAACTAGTTCGGCTGTACCTCTACACGTCCGAGAGGTCTCTGAGCACTAAACAAATGAGCAACTTGATTACAGAGCTTGCTCGTGAGAAGCTAAAAAGGTTCGGGCATCTGGTTCTTTCTTCTAACCCTCTTGAAATAGTACTAACGAAGTTATCCCGTAGTTCACGCCGATCTCTAAAATCAAAGCCCGAGTCGCGGACCAGGTCGACGCAAAACCAACTGCGGACCTTATTAGCCAGTGACTATCATCGGCTCCGCGCCCGTAATCGCGAGGTCGCTCGAGCAAGACTGGATGATCTACGCCTTGTTCGGAGTGGCCGAATCGAGAAGCGGTCGAACCGGCGTAAAGGAGCTGGATGTATCCCAATCTCTCACTTGATGGATTATAGGACAGGACTTGAGATACCCAAGTCAGGGTTTGATATCGAAACTACTTCTAAAAGAACTAGTGCGAGTAGTTTCGCTACATGGATCAGCACTCAAAGCTGTGAGGGGGAATCCCCTCAAGTCTTAAAGCCGAAACAACGCGTTCGGGTTTCATGGATTCGAGATGTGTTAGGTCGATCAAGCGAAAAGCGGCCATCATCTTCAGTCATATTGGATATCCGCAGTCTCATCAGCACGCATTCTTTCCGAAGTTCATTATTCTCATCCAACTCATCGTCAGTAACCCTACCAATTGCTGGTGTGCTGCCATTCCCCGAAACAGATCATTTCAAACACCGTAACAAGTTAATTATCGAGCTCTGTTGCCAATGGCAGCCAGACTGCCTCCATCGCAAAGCTGCTCAACTAGCTACTGGTTCTGACTTGGCCACTGTCTTCAGTAAGCTTGCTTTGAAAGAGGGCTCGATAAAGGATGAGCGGGATATATGGAATGCAAGTATTCTCCACCTTCTCGCTCAATGGGGTACAGACATTTCTATAGTGTCTCTTCTCTCCCTTATTGTACATTATTGTGAGCGCTCTATGGTCACCGCTCGTAATATCGACGGTGATACATTCCTTCATATTCTTGCTCGTCGTTGGTCTGAGACCACGGAGGTTTTAGATACCTTTCCTATCGAAGATCTCATCACTCTTCTCGGCGCCAGAGGGTTTCGCTTCGACACTTGCAATTCTCTTGGCGATAACGTCCTGGCTTGCTTTGTCCCAGAAATTCACTTCGGTGCCACGACAGAGAGTCGCTGCCGGAATCGCTGCCGGAGTGCTGTTCACACTCTACATTCTTTGTTCAAGATTAAAGACGCTGGCCGATTCTTACTAGAACCCTTCGCAGCTATCTATCGGGACACTCAGCGTGATCGGCTGTCTGAATTTCTCTGGTCAGATTTGTTATATAATGAGACCCTTGATGATGAGATTGTTATGATAGCAGAAACTCGGGAATGGCATCGGGTGTGGCGAGAAGCAGCAGCGATTGCAATTTATCGGCCGATTCCCAGTCTGCATACCTTTTTACAGCACCAGACCGTTATATCGATCGAGCTGCTTGACCAGGGAGCTGACCCGAACGAATACAACAACGATGGCAAGACGTGTCTCATGGCACTCCTACAAAAGTCTGTCGAGTTGCAATTGGCTAGCTCTACAATTCAACGCCTTACTCAAATGCTTCTTGATCGAGGTGCGAGCGCAAAGCTCTGTGATCGCGATGGCGATACCGCTCTTCATCATGCCGTTCGACTCAACCTTCCCGATGTTGTGGACATATTGATCAAGGCCGGTGCTAGCCTAGAGGCAAGGAATACTATGGGAAAGACCTGTACTGATATTGCCATCACTGATTATGAGCTTACCCGCCATCTCCGGGAGAGCATTCGCTATGCTGGTGCTCAGACTATGTTGGTCCGGCTTTTTGACGGGAGTGCTAGGCGGATAAGAAGGAATAGAATATCGTTACCTGGGCAAAGTGAATTGCAAGGGTAGAGATCTTCAGAACCGTAGCCTACGAAGTGTTGGAAAGGCTAACGGCCCAGCCGCGAGACTCACTCTGCTCACCCCATTTGTTTGGTTGAAGTGAGCCGAGGCGGTTCTGTCTACAGCTCTATCGAGATGGTATCATTGGTTATATCAGCAAGTCAGTATAAAGTTAGTCGCGCTTACATGGAATCATTTGAATTCTTTCTCTTCGAAAGATCCGGGAATGGACCCGGATTGCTTGCTCGGCTGTTAATTACTCTTCATTGATGCACATTTGGGTTAAGGTAGGCTATGTATCACTGATCCGGGTTTGAGAAATGTCAAAGAGTATGTGCAGCCTCGTAGGGCACAATAATCAAATTCGTCTGCATACAACCCGATTTGTGGAGGCTGGGCCAAACTTCGCCTGTCCCAACGATCTTATAGTGTAACTCGATCTCAAATCTGACACCGATACCATTGATCGCTATTCAGACTTGTGACTGTTCAGGAGACTCAGCAGTTAACTCCACAGTCAATTCAGCTTCTCTAGCAAGCAAGTCGCGTTCAGCCTTGGTTCTAGGCTGGTCAGGTACAATGAATTTGAAGCTGAACAGGATTGGAATCAAGGCAGCGAGTATAACTCCGACACCAGTAAAGGCTGCAACGCTTGCGAATCCCTTGGTGTACTTGGGGCTGTCTTTCGAAGGCCACAAGTAGCTGCCATAGATGATGGATAAATTTCCCACTGAATTGATCCACGCTAGAGCAACTGATCGCTTCTTATCAGGAAGGGCAAGTGTCTCAGATGCCCAGTTGAGAATCAGTGGCACTGCGGTGTAGAGACCAGCAACGAAGAAGCACATCATGACGTATCTCACGACGCCACCTTGAACCGTCATACAGATGATGCAAGCAATGAAGGGGACCGAAAGAAGGCCGGTGTTGTGCCAACGGCGGTCTTGCGTCTTGTCAGATGTCCAAGAAAAGAACAACATGAACACGGCTGCCACAGACCAGATAGGCACTGTCATCCATTGTGCTGTGACAGATGTATAACCCATTTGCTTAAGAATCGTAGGGATGAAGTAGGATATGGTAGTCGAACTGGAGTCCAGAACATACAGGACGAGGAAGAACCAAGTTCGGACATCAGCAACAACAGCTTTGACTGCTTGCCAACCTGTCAACTTTCCGGTATCCTGCGAGACGTTCGTCTTGCGATCGTGCAGAATGCGGATGTAAGCAAGCTGACGCTCTTCTGGGCTGAAGCGCTTCGTGGTGAGCGGGTAATCGACTAAGAGGAAGTATAGGCAGAGAGCGCAAGCAACGGTAATTACACCTTCGATGAGGAGTAGCCATCGCCAGCCCTCCCAACCTCGTGCGCCGTCCAGACCTCCAATGACAGCTCCAGCCATTATGCCTCCGAGAGCTGGCGCGATAGCGCCTGATGTGTAGAATATGCAGAACCGCTTTCCTGAAGTTAAACGTCAGTATGGGTTCTGTGCAGGCTCGTATCCTAGTAGAATAACTTACCAACTTCATCCTAAGTACAGAAAATTGAAGTCAGCAAGTTTTACATCAGATCAGTCAATGAATAAATACCTTTTTGTACCAACAGGTCAACAAGTACAGCGCACCAGGGAATAGTCCAGCTTCGATGCATCCCAGAAAGAATCTGCCGGCCAAAAAAGACGATGCGTTCTTGGATGCTGACATGCCGGCCACAACAGCGCCCCAAACTAAAACAATACTTGATAAATAGATAGAAGGCGGGAACCTGGCCATCATGAGGTTTGATGGAACTTCGAAAATGAAGTAACCAACAAAGAATGTTGAGATGAACAATGAATACTCTATATGAATTATTAGCAATGTTCCCAAACCTTGACATTTTGAATGTAAGAACATACGGTTATCGCTTAGACCCAGATCCTCGCTCAGTCCAGCGGCGTTGGCGTTTGCCTTGGGGATTATAATTAGTGCTGGATATTGTAATCAACAGTCTAGAGATATATCTTACAATGTTTCCTCTATCCAGATATGCGAGAACGTACATTAACCACAGCACAGGCAGTAAAATGAAATCCAGCTTTCGTACAAGCCGTTTCTCGGCTGCAGTCCCCGGTACATATCGCTGCAGGGCCAAGGCATGCTCGAGATCTTCGGCGGAGAGACCTACGGGTATCTTCTGAACTTGGCCCGTTTCCGAGTCACGCCCTTGGACGTTTGCGTCAGCAGAGACGGTGATCTTCTCGTCAGGCATTTGTGCCATTTTGTGACAATATAGGTTGTGAGAAGGCGAGGCTGTTGCTGAGATGCTCAAGTGAGAATGTCGAGAAGCTTCACCCACGACTGAACTTTCTGACTCAAGAACCTGTTGGAGGGTCCGACTCAATGGTTCATTTTGTATTCCTCTCAATGCTGTAGTAGTTCGCCTGGTTATCAACCTACAGCTGGGGATTACCTAGTTATCGTTCCGTCCAACTTGTGTAGTGCAAGGTTTCCGAGGCGATTAGGCCGGGCAGTGATCCGGTATCACAGTTGTTCAGTCTATTATCAGTCGAACCTCTCCTCGTTATCGACTCCACAAAAAACGCGCCGGCTCGTGTTAGTAACGACGCCGCTCCTTCTGATGACCATTATCACTTATCTCATTGTTCGGCGCGAAAACCACACAAGGAGGACACTATGCCTCTTTGTCCCTTCCCCATGGAGTACCACTTGGAATGTGACATAATGTGTAATCGATATCATATCGCTTGTTGATCAATAATTCGAGCTTGAAGATAAACCCTGCTTGTTCCCGAGAACCTCAACGGTCTTCAGGGGACGAGGGTGATTCACGCCGTCGCTCTTTGGTGTGGACCCGCCGACCAATCAAAGATGTGCTTCACGCCGAACTTTTGGTGGGACATGCTTTCGATAGACAAGCGCCTGCGATGATACCAACCATCCTATCTGCTAGGCGTGCTACCATGCGTCTAGATTACCCTTAGTGTGTCAATTCGGTCTCTTGAACGAAGTTGACGCAGTCCCCGAAGGTTCATTGCGGGGAACTGATAGATACGACCTAATCTTTGGGATTGCTAGGGAACCGAAGCTAGGGCAGGCCGGATTGGGACATCGAAAATCACGCGGCGACGTTCCGATTAACATCATCGCTCTTTCGATGCATGCTTCGACTCCTGTTTATACCTGAGTACACAGACAGCTTTGGAAGCATCGTGATTTCTAGTTTTTTACAGTTAGCTATGTTATAATTATTAGTGCGTCTGAATTTCGTCACCTCAGATCCCACGTTTTCACAGCTTTTAACCGAACTGCAACTCTCCTCAACCCATATCATGAGCCCAACAAAGGTCGCCGAGAAGGACTTTCCTTCTATCATCCTTGAGCAAATCACTGAAGACCCGTCCTTACCACGTACTGGTCCCACCACGTCTCTGTGGCAAATACCTGGACATCAAGATGTGGGAGGCATCCAGTCTTCTGTGCTCCCTCAGAAGGTTGATTATGCCATTATTGGTTCTGGTGTTGCAGCTTGCGGTGTAACAAAGAGTCTACTAAGCAGCTCCGCATCTGGATCCAAGTCGGTGGCAGTTTTTGAAGCACGGGGTCTCTGCAGTGGTGCAACAGGTCGTAACGGAGGACAATTGACGAGGCTGCCACCAACAAGACATACATTCATGGCAGAGAATTTCGGAATGACCCAGGCCAATAAGATCATGCGCTACACGGTCAAAGGCTTAGATGAGATGCACAACCTTGCCAAATCGCAAGGTCCTGAACTACTCAAGTTCTCTAAGTTAACTAAGACGGAGAAATTCTTTGCATATTACGATGAAGAGTCATGGATAGAAACTCAAGAGGCCATCAAATTGTATGAGCAGGAGGTGCCTGAGGATAAAGGGGTTTATGAGCTTGTGTCAAAAGAAGAAACTGCTTCGGTGAGTGCGTTAGGGCTGATGGTTTCGGAATCGGGCTAACTGCTTCATCTCGAGCAGGTCTACAATCTCAATGGCGCATATGGCGGGTTGAGATTTCCTGCGGGCGTCTGCGCTCCATACAATCTCGTCACTGGAACGTTCAACCAGTTATTGAAAAAGCACCGGGGACGTTTCACTATTGAGACTAACACGCCAATCACCGCAATAATTCATCAGAAAGAAAATGATGATTACCCATACTTGATACAAACCCCTCGCGGCTACGTCCGCGCCGCAACTGTAATTCACTGCACAAATGGCCATGCGGCACATCTTTTGCCTGGCTTGCGAGGAAAGATGTATCCCCGACGTGGTACAATGTCCGTGCAGTCTCCCGGTCCTAACTTCCCGAAGATGAGTGACAAACAATCATGGTCCTTCTACTTGACCCCTGCCCACGACAAGACGACCAATGCGGTTGAGACTGGGAGATATTACGGGTTTCAAAACGGCGAAACAGGCGACCTCTGGATTGGTGGTGACAAAGATAGCATTGATGGTTTCATCTCTGCTGACGACACCAAAATTGATAAGTTCGCGGATGCGAACCTTCGCAAAATGGTGCCAAGACTCTTCACCAAAAATTGGGTTGCCGAGAGTCCAGAAGTCCGTGGCATCTGGACTGGTATCATGTGCTACACTGGAGATCAGCTCCCCTTCGTTGGTAAATTGCCTAGCACTGCGACAGGTCGTTCTGGCAGTGGCGAGTGGGTTGCGGCTGGATGGAATACATACGGTATGACTAACGGCCTATTGACCGGTATTGCATTGGGAAAGATGATCCTGGGTGAAGATGTTAGCGAATGGTTCCCTGAAGCATATCTGATCACCAAGGAGAGGCTGAACGGGTCCAAATTTAAGGTACAAGCTGTATTAGAGGACTACTTCAAGAGAATAGGGGCACACGACTTTGCCATATCAAAGTCAAAGTTGTAACGGAAGCTGAGAGATAAAAAGGGCATTGTAGACTCTGGGTATAATGGGATAGATGTTGGTGTACCTGTGAGACGAATGCGCATCAAATGATTGACTGATGGTACATACTCAGAAAAGAGGCAGCCCTAGTCTTGACTATGTGCATAACTAGTCTAGATTTTCACGACGATTGCTGTAAGGATTGTGGAATGTATCACATAATTAAATGAAACATGTCACAAATGTTGTCGCTACCAGGTTTGTTGCCATTTATATTGCCAGCTATTTAGTCCAGATTTGAGGGATACAGTACACTATCAATGGTGCAATAATTCTCCTTGATTGTTCTTTGAGAGATAAATCGAGTCAAGAGACCAGCTGTTCCGGCTTTGTCGTTTGTACCACTCGACCGGGAGCCCCCAAACGGTTGCTGGCCGGGCATAGCTCCAGTGCATTGATCACTACTTTAGGTTAGAAGATATCTTATCAATCAGTATAAGCATACGAAAATCTTACTTGATATAGAAGTTGCCTGCAGAAAATCTCAGCTCGTCTGTCGCTTGAATGATAGCTGCACGGCTCTTTGAGAATATCGCTCCAGTGAGGGCATATTCCGTTGTCTCATCAATGAGTTGGAAGAGCTTGGGACCGAACTCGGCATCGTCATAGACATATAGACAGACAAATGGCCCAAAGACTTCCTCGCTCATGAATCGACTCTTTGGGTCGGATGACTCAATCACTGTTGGACGGATAAAGTATCCCACAGAGTCGTCACAGATGCCACCAGCCAAGACAGAAATCTCAGGGGCTGTCTTGGCATCTGTCACATATTTAGCGACGCGATCAAACGCCGACCTGCTGATAACGGGTCCCATGAAGTCAGTGAAAGCAGACCCTATGGACAGCGCCTCTGTCTCTTTCACTAGTATGGTTTTGAATTCTTTGGCCAGAGAAGATGGCACATAGACACGAGAGCATGCGCTGCATTTTTGACCTTGGTACTCAAAAGATGCCCGGAGAGTTTTTAGGGCGGCATTCTTCACGTCTGCTGAGGGATGAATGAGGTGATAGTTCTTTCCGCCTATAGCAGTTCTCAGCGGCTAGTCGAATTGTCTTCAATCTCATTTTGAACATACCTGTCTCACCAACCATACGAGGGTAGGATCGCCAGAAATCCATTTTGGCACCAATTTTGGCGGCCAAGCTGCGAAACACCGCAGTGCTACCTGTGAAATGAAGCCCTCCAACTTCACGGCTTTTGTAGACCTCGTCTGTGACCAGTTCTGCATTGCCAGGGAGAAACTGTAGGACTCCAGCAGGCAAACCTGCCTCAATCATGATTTGGTTGAAAAGCCAGCTAGAGTAAATTGCACCTGGGCTTGGCTTCCAGATTACAACATTGCCAACAATCAAAGGAGCAAGAACAAGGTTCACGGCCAGTGCGGTGAAGTTGAATGGGGAAATAGCGTACACGAAGCCATCGAGGGGCCGCACCTCGGTCCGACTGTTTACATTAGCCAAGTTCAATCAATGTAAGAACTGGGTATAGAAGACTTACTTCCACACATTTGCCGTGTTAATTGGTGGCTGTGCTTTGTAAAGACCTTCCGCTAGAGATGGAAACATCTTGAGGAAGTCGATAGACTGCAACAAATTACTTTAACTTATGTAGCCCATGAAGAGAGAGACGGTTGTCTCTTACCTCGGCGATGCAATCAATATCAGCCTGGTATGCATTCTTACCCTGACCTAGCATTGTTGCGGCCATCATGCGATACTTGTATGGCCCTTGCAAGAGAGCGGCGGCTCGATAGAACACCGCAGCACGATCGTGTAGAGAGGTCTTCACCCATGCCTTCTTTGCTTCCAAAGCTCCTTTGATTGCCTTTACAACTAGGTCAGAGCCCGCCTCTGAGTAGTTGGCCAGAATCGTCTTATGTTTGAAGGGATTCTCTTGGCCTGCACTTATTTTCCCTACGACGTCAGCGCCGTCGACATTCGGATGCACTTCAAAGGGTGCATCCCTCTCCATATCGGCCAAAGCCTCAATGAGGGATGCGCGTTCTGCCGTATTCGGAGCATAAGTTGTCTACTTCACTGGTCAACACATTTTTACCAAGAGAGTTTCGTTTTGTCCTGAAAAGCCCTACAAATGGTTCATTGCTAGAGTTCGGAGCAGCGAATGCGCCCAGCGCAGAGCTGATGGTCATTGCAGCCATAATGGTTGTCATTCAGTGGCTTGCCCAAAATGATTCAATATAATCGCGAATAATATGAATCTGACCGAAAGCAACAATGTCCCTGTGATTGCTACACATCCAACGTAGCTCCTTGCCTACAAAGTACCTGCATTAGTAACATGGGTCAGATACCGAAGATCTTATCGCATGGGAAGTCCAAACAGACCTTAGAACTGACTTCTCGGCGCGAGTTTCAAAGCTTACGAGGCTAATGCAAAGGCCAAGCATTACTGATGATCCCCGCCACCGAGATAGATGCCTTACATCCAGACTATTTGCCGGCCGAAGCGCAGGTTATGCGAGGAAAGGCGGCAAATCAAATCATCGCGGGTTCAAAGTAAGAGCCGTGTATTCTGTATTATTTATTGTGCCTATGACGTATGAGAATGATGGACAATCTGGTATTCTAACGTTGATATTTGAATGTATCTAGGTACTGTAGTGGCGGTGCTTGAGATGGCTAGTGAGGTCCCCAGGGCTTATCTCGGTGCTAGGCCAGTAACTTATCAGTGGGGATGAGGGGGTTCTCGTGTGATTGCAGTCCAGAACAGCTCCTCATCCCCTCTTCAATTCAACTGCATCACCGGCCTAGAGCTGGAAAAACATGTTTCCGTTTCCTGCTCAGGCAATCCTCTTTCTTTGACTGCAAATCACATAGGTCCGTGACAAAGCTGTCATACCGGGTTGGTGGGGGATCTATCGTGACTTCAGATCAGCTTTTGTCTACGAGGGTCGACGACAACTTATGCGAGGACGCCGCCCTCACAAGAAATAGTAATGGACACGCAGTCTCCACCAGATACGCGAAAGCGTCGACGAGGAGGCAGGATCTACTCGGTGCGGTCTCATACCTTTCGGTTTGTTGACAGAGTGAAAAGAGTAATTAACGAGATATCGCGTAGGGCTGTTCAACTTGTAGGGCCAGAAAGATCAAGTGTGATGAACATCAACCCAAATGCTACAACTGTGAAAGGTCTCGACGGTACATATGTGACGGCTATGATCAGACCGTTGACACTGCTCTAACGGTCCCTATTCGACGCACCAGAGTTATGCCACCTACACCTAGACTAGCAACCGTATCTGGCAATCCGGATGGCGAAAGCTCGATAGATGAAGCCACTGAGATCGAGAGGATATTCCGCGACTTTGATGCAGCAGGCATTGGTCCTATGTCCACTCCAGGCGATGCGGTTTCAAGCGAGTTTTCTCGTTCGTTCCTGGGATGGCCTAGTTCGTTCACCACACAACTCTCACCTAGCAATGGCAATGCTACCGCAAACAATGATGGATTTGATCAAATCTCTGGACGACGTGTCGACTTTCAAAACGACTTCGACCTCATTGGTGATTTCCTGCCATGGATAGCCCAAGGACCATCCCCGCCGACTTTCGAACCAAGAACTTCTCACCATCCCGGTCTGGATGGTGCTTCAAGATCCGTCATGTCTCCTGTTGCTATAGCAGAGCTAGAGACGGCTTCAATACAAGCGCTTCAGCAGCCTCAGACTACCCCATTGCTCAGAGAGTTAAGGCCGGACGCTCTCGAAATGTCAGAGGCTATGCGCAAACTGCTCCACCATTATCGAACACACGTCTGTCAGCTCATGATGCCAACATCAGCACCGTCTCACAACCCTTGGTTGCACCTTTACTTACCAATTGCATTACAAGAGCCGCCGACGGCTCCTAAAAGATGTTTGCTGCATGCAATCTTGTCCGTGGCAGCTTTCAACAAGGCAGAGCTCTCCAGTGTTGATAGAAGCCTATTTCGCCGTGAAGCTGGGGAGCACAAGGAAAAGGCTTGGCTCTTGCTGAACAAATGCACGTCCAGCAATCCACCTGACGGTGTTGAGACGATTGCAGAAGACTCCACAGACAGGCAGGCCTTGCTAGCGGCTGCACTCACTATGACAACGGTTGAGGTAAGTAGATTACTTCAGTGACGACCCAAAGCCTTTCATTAACCCGTCATTAGGTATTCAGCGGAGCGGAGACTGGGAAAGGATATGAGCACTTGTTGTTATGCAAACGCATCCTCAAACTCACGGGTGGGCTTACCTGGTGGCTCTCAGATACAGCAAACGTTACGCTTCTTCAAATATTTCGATGCCTTGAAATCGTGGGTTACACATCCGGCTGGGCTCTCCGTAAAGGCAACACTCTAGAACAAGGCGATGAGCATACTGCTGGTATTGGTGGTCGACGCGCCGTACAGGGCCCTGAAACCGAGGCGATGACGACTGCGCTGGCTTTAGCTCCTCAGTATACCCTCGATGTATCGTTCGGAGTGTCGATGAAGACACTGAGATGCTTAAACAAGATAATTGAGCTTGCGAATGTCAAGGCTAGCCTGTCTTATGGAGACTTATGGCCGCCTAGCAGTATCGAAGAACTTGTCAAGCTTGAAACCGAGCTCTTCGACATCTTGGATGACCCCGACGCATTCAATGGTCAGCAAAATGGGAGCTCAGGTATCCAGAAGGGGATATCAAATTACGTGAGCGAGGAGATCAAAGAAAATCATGTGTGGGCTTTCCACTACAGCACCGCAATTTTCTTTAGACGAGCGCTCTGCGACGGGGATGCTACCGTCAAGTCACTGACATGCAGTATGACTGACCAGACTACTGACACGTGGGCTTCCAGACCATCAGGACAGGCGCTTGTGTCAAAAGCACTGGAGTACCTCGAAAATGTTGATGCGCTCTCCAGCGATATTGCGATTGCCAATACCCTCTGGCCAGGTTTCATTGCCGCCGTCGAGGCAGTGGACATGCCACTTCGTCATCGGGCACTCATATGGTTCGCTCGAGCAAAGAGACATGGCATAGGTAACATTACCAAGGCTAAGGATTTGGTAATGGAGGTATGGAGGAGGGTGGATAGACAAACCTGGGTGAGCCCTGATCGCAAGAATTTGCAGTCGGAACTTAGTCATGTCGACTGGAGAGAAGTCATGCGGGAGAAAGGGATGTATATAATACTGACCTGATCCATGATCTCATTATTCTGTCTATCTATTTAATTATTCATTTATATTAGGTAGAAGAGCTCTTTGCTCGCTCGTAAACCTGATGGTCATAGGACCCGGTGCCTTAGGATCGTGTACCTCCAAGCTTCAGCCTGTGGATTATTGAATCTTGAGCCCAGGTGTGTTTCGTACTAGTTATTGGTAACTTTTTGTGTGTCATGGTCTTGTAGGACCTCACGAAGATGGTCTGATAGTACGTTGTCCCATAAGTGCTTATTCTTGTACTTTGACACCTCAGGAGAGTAACTGCCAACACTCGTCTGTAACGCTAGTGCAATGTCTTTGTCCTTGGTAACTTCGGTGATAGGTGTAATGTATGTTCTTATCGAGAAAGCAATGGCTCCTGTCTTTGGCAGTCGTTGAAGATACTGCCTTTCAACCCGAAGGTACAGTTGGTCAATGGTGAGGGGTCTCTCTAGTGTTTCCGCCGTTAAATTGTGGTGGGAGTGTATGTGAAATAACTCGGGACTGATATCCACGGCGTAGTTGAATCGCATGAATGGCTTGTCGGCACGAAGTCGCAAGAAAAAGCGATCCATTGCTTTGCTCAGATTCTGCTCGTACATCGGGACTTTCCCAGCATGGATTTGCCAAAGGCTATGCCCTATCCTTTCCCGGAGTTTCCAACCAGCTGATATGATTAGCTATCTTCGCTCTCATCATTGGACTATGGATGATGCCTTACCAGGGAAGCAATTGGCACCAGCCTTCAAACGAGTTGTTTCTTGGTCGTCATCCGTTTGCATTATAAACCAGTCTTCTGTAGAAAGAAGTCCCATGATTTGGAGTGGATGCCAGAAGTTCCAGGTTGCACTGTCTCTTCGTAGATCCCAGCTATCCCCTGTCACAAGATTTTCAATACCATCAACTGTCTTTTTAAACATAGTCGGATATCGGCGCGGAAGGAAGTCGACCAAATAATAGAGGGCTTCAAAGGATGCTTCTTCACTTCCTGGTAAATGCTGCACAGTGTCATTTGGGTGCTCTGCGAAAAGTTTCCGCTTGTACTGGTAACGTGAAAGATAACTTTTGTCAATTTCAACCCAGTCGTCTAATAGCGTCTTCTTAAGCCCTGGTACTGTTCAGTACGAATGTGCATAAAAAAGAACGGTTGGTATACCCATTGTAACATGATGCGGTCCATTGTGCCACGGCCGGTATGGACGCTCCTCAACCTCTTTCCAGTTGAATTCTTGTGCAGCAGGTCGCGTGCTAGAGAAATCTAAGATTTCCCAGTCGAATTTGGTGTCAGCTGTGATTCATGTTAACAAAAAGTTTATATCCGCGTGGTCTCCGAGGGAAAGCTCACCCAAACTTGACCCCCGAGACTCTTTCACTGACAAGGAGGCGGCCTCAGTGATCAACTTCTTCTTTTTGATCGAGAAAATGAGACTGTACGCATAACAAATGGCAGCTGCAGCCCATGTTACTATCACAACCCAAGGGGTCAGCGCGCGGACAGAGTCCATCGCTTGAAAGATG